AAATTACAGGATAAGAGGGATGATACTTCGTCCTCTGGAATAGCAACGTATAAATGGCTGGCGTCACATGATAACGTGATGTGATGTAGTACAATTCATGTATATAGGAGACGATTGTAATCGTGTAAAAGATTGAAAATAACAAGAGCGGAGTTTCTTGTTAGTTCTTAGCTTGAAAGCACTCGAGCTGACCGAAGATTCGACATATCATAAGAGTCTGTAATAGACCTACATGAAATGTTATATTGATTTGATTTGACGCCTATGTTTTACCATCATGTGGGCCATTTGTTTGCTATTACAATTACTTAACAAATCTTAATACTAACAATTTAAATATACAATTTTACTGTTATATGCCATTTAATAATTGCAATTATGAGTGGCACAACAATTTTGTTCGCATCTGCAACTCAATGGTTCGCTCAAATAAACCACTCAAATTGACAATAGCAAATCCACCTGAATTGTTAATAACTTCGTTAATTACGTGATTACCAATGGCCTAATTATGTACGAGAATTTTCTACGCTACGAGAATACCTTAACGGGCTCTCTAGTCTAGCAGTTCAGACACAGCTTTACTTCTGATAGTCGCACGTTCGCTTCCTCGCACAGTACTAATAATTGCATTCATGAGTTTGTGAGTAACTATATTTGTAGTGCTTTGCGTGTTTCCTATGTATTTCATGTATGTATTAAAAATAAAAATGTATTCATAAAAGCTGTCTAGTACTCATAATAAAAAGTCTCTTTAGCTTAAGACTGCATGGCGCTGTGTGAATTGTCCTGATTATTATTATTATTATTATTTTAATCTTCGTATATTTTCGTATCCTAAGAACATACATTATACGGAACTCGATCATAGCACAATAATTATTTTATTTATACTCTTTATTGCTCCAAATATAGAAAATAATCAAAATACATTAACCAATACAAAAGGCGGTCTTATCGCTAATTAATTTCTTCCAGACTACGTAAGGGTGGATATAGAAATTAAAGTTGTAAGTGGCATTATTATTAAATAATCAAGTGGATGGGCGAAGGTACAAGACCATACAGCCTAATCTTCAGTAATAAAGAAAATAAACATAAGAAAAGTATAATGTACTATGTTACAGAGATAATTGTGCCCGTATTAGAGATTTTTTTTATTTCTACTAAATCAAGGTTGACAACCCTGCAGGGGATATAAAACATCCATTTTGGATCTGGACATTAAGTTGCTAAAACGTTTAATTACATCTTTATATCCATATCCATAAAGTTTAAAATTAAATAAATAATAAAGTAATAATATTAGTTTGTATTATAATTATAATGAATTCTAAATTAAACACGAGTAAAACCATGTTTAAATATTTTATTTCCATATCTTTAAAAGCTGAGGAATTAAGATTTATCTGATATATTGAGTGCAGTGAAAAAGACTTATAATACGTATGTTTGAATAACATTTTAAACATTCGTTGAAGAATTTTCAAGTTCTTTTTACTCTTGTTTAATATTACGTGTTTTTTTAGGTAACTGGAAGGGTAGGCCAGCTTAAAAGATGTAGGTATGTCTGATTAAACATTTTAAACATTAGTTGAAGTTTCATGTCCTCTTTACTGATGTTTGCATATTTTTTTTAAGTAACTGGAAGAACAAATCAGTTAATGACGCACCTAATAGTAATTGGTATCAATTATCTATATATATTTATAGTATAAACAGCTTCACATACGTCAAGTCGTCTTGTAAAGACGTTGCTTTCTGGAGGATTTAGATGTCATGCCACCGTAATGTTTCACTGCCATATCTCAACATCAATCGAAACATGCTTTGTAAGAATTTGTGATACAGATCAGATGACTTTGTAAAGCGTACTTCGGTAAATGAACACGGGATCTCGCTTGGAAACCGCGCGGTTAATATTCATTTTTATACTGACCGTCGTTCAAGGTCATTGACATGCATTCGTTTATTTTATTTATTGCATTCAGAAAATATAATAATAAAATAATTTGGAGACAATGTGAGCAAAGGTAGTTCATATTGCTTATAGAAATATATACAATATTATATTTTAAATTTTATATTTTTACGGCTCTGGATACAGGTCCTTTTGAGGCTACCCTTAACTAATTTACAATACAGTAATAGAGTAAGTAACCACAGAGCAGAATCAATGTTGCTAAAAATAAATTACATTACCATATTACTTTAGTTTGCATAATATGGTGTAAGAGAATTAAGCGGAATTTTCTAGTATACTTCATTAACGCCTACCTACCTATTTTTAAGGAAAATCGACAGTGTAAATGAGGCTAACAAATAAGATGTTTATTACCTATATGAACAGTTAAGGAATTGTTAGTAATACCTAATGACCTCATTACAAGCAATGTACCATATCAGGTTGACCTCCACACGGTTCCAACTGGAAACCATCATGATCAATTCTTGGAGAATTTGCCACGATGGGCTAATTGATTATCATCCTCCACTGGTGCCCTCCCACCGTAAACCAATATCGCAGGTGAACCATCCCATTAAAAAAGTATATGAACAAAATTATGAAACAAAATACTAGTGACTTGGATAGGCTGCAATTATTGTATTGATCTCCATATGTATTTAGCGGTGTTACTATCTAATAATGTAATATTTTTTAAAACAGGCCATACATATTTTTAGTCAATAAATTAGATATAAAAACGTATATATAATATTAAAAAAAAAACATCTATTCAACACAAAAGTTTCTTGCTCATTCTCCTTGAGATGAATCTGCGTTCCGAATGAGTGGTAGAATCAAATTATGACCATTCAAAAGTGCTAGTAATGAGTTTATTTGAATAAAGATTATTTCTATTTCTATTTAAATCTTTGACACTCTTTTTAATATTATAAAAGTTTAGCTAACTTTAAGACCCGATATATAAAACCAATACCTACAATACAGTGAAATTATCCAATTAGACATATGTCTAGTATATATATTGAATAAACGCATCTCAAAATTAGGTCTCAGCATAACAATCTGCAGATTCTGCCAAGCAGAAGAGGAAACGTCACTACAGGTTCTATGTGGTTGTAGCCCACTTATGTATAAACGAAATATCTACTTTGGAAAGTATAGACTATACCCTGAGGAGATAACAACCACCGCTCCTAAGAATACCTTTCAATTCTTGTCCCTGACAGACCTAGGTAAAGAACTTTGAAAAAAAAAAGGGCGAACACGGTAGATCTATGTATGTCGCAGTGCCACAGGTCTTAACACCTGACCATAGGGAGGAAGACGATTGTTAGTAATGTGGACTGATGATCTTATTGCTAGCAATGTACCATGTCAGACCTCCACGCGGTTCCCCCTGGAAATCATCGTGGTAAATTCTTGGAGAATATGTCACAATGGGCTAACTGACCGGACCTCATCTCATCTTATCATCTTCCACTGGTGCCCCGCCAGCGTAAATCGTTAGCGCAGGAGGGTGCACCATTTCATTGTCATCCACAAAAGAAACACCTGACAATAGCCTAAAACCCTCAATAAAAAATGTTTCCAATAATTAGTATATTGTTATGTATTTATTTAAAAGTCCATTTATATGTCGTATCCCAGTGGGTACCCTATCACCCAAAGATCAAAGTCATATTTATTTATTTTAAGACATTTTCCTGCAACTTACGTATATCAAAATTTCAAATGAGATCGTACGATCGAATATTGTTCGCACTAAATATATATACATAACAAATAATTTATATTTCTCTGGTGATGGGAACACCAGTAAAAAAAATTATGTGTATTCAACGATCAGCTAAATATATGGAATTGATAAATTTACACCTATGTTTTCTATTAACTAACTACCACAGAAAACTTAAGGTGTAATTACACTAAAGGAATAAATTGGCAGAAGAGAATCAATCAGCTAAAAGTGCAAAGAAAATAGGTTTCGACTAATAGAGCATCGCAAAACTTACGCATTCCTAACAATGCTACAAAATTATTACCTATATGCAGGTATAAATATGTAAGACCAAGCAAATGAACATAGAGAACATTAAAATATCTTCAGATAGAGTAGAAGAAGCCTACTCTATGTAAAGACACTTCACACTAAGTTTGACTCCTGGACATATTTTTTCATCAGTAGACCATAAGGTAGAGAAAGTTCTAGAATAGCTCTTGAATAAACTTTAACAAGTATCGCAAATTAATATACCTAAACAAAAGATAAACATTAAAAATAATTATCTTATATACTAAATAACAATAGGAAAATGTAAGGTGGGGTGACACAGTTTAGACACGGCAGTGCTTAGTAGACAATATTGAATTTGTCTTACTAGACATTATTAAATGCAATTATTATTTCTAGGTAAGTAACTGTGTCCCATATCATACAAATCGTTTTTAATTAACCGTTAAAGAGTTTGTCACTTTCTTTCGAATAAAGAAACTAGCTAGAAGACAAAGGACAGAACAGGTTTATTAGAAATGCTGTTGAATGTAGAGCAAGTTTAAAGACATAAAAAGTACGTATAGTAATCTGCCTGTACAAAAATAGATGAGTTTTGTTTAAGTAGAGACCGATGAAAGGAACATAAAAACATCAGTGCGAGTGTACCTAACTACTTGTATATAACCACAGCAACATTCTAATTATATACATATAACTATCTGTAATTTTCCTACCGCTTCTATAAAAGAAATTGACCGCTAAATGTTAATATAACTTATTACAAAGCTAACTGTATACATATTTTTATTTATACACAAATATAAAGATATAAATATTTCGCTATTTTACTTTACTTTTTAGTGTTCATTACAAATCATTAACACAACTAAAACGCGTTAACCAGCTGAGTATTCACGATAAACGTCCATTCACTGAGTCAACAGCACACAGCCTTAAAATTTTACATATAACTTAAATTCATTCATGACGCCTACACACACTAGTATAGTAGGTAATAATATAACAGTTCTTACATACCTTCTCAAAGTTTAAGAGCACAGACAGTTCGCACAAATGGGACACAGTGTAGATACAGTAACAGAGCACACGTGCGTTCGAGCTAGATAACAAAACACATCTGAATGGGTGACTGTTCACTTTTCGCTCGGTTCCAAGCTCCATACAAATCAAACGGAGGCGGGACGACTTGCGTCGCGCCTCGCACTGGACAACCGCATTTTTATTTGCAATTTCACTTTTTTTTTTTCAACAACAAAAACGTCTGCACCCTAAGGAATAGACACACATAATGCCCATTATCATGTACGATAATATTGTTTACGCACTCCAGTCGAGTTTGCTCTCGGCGAATTCAGATCGCGTTATCAGTGGAATTTTACATATTGTAATTATTTAATTATAATCATATACAGCGTAAAGATAATATCAGAGTGTAGAGGACGGCTTTCTAAGGTAATTGTGATTTTGTGATAAGAGCAAGCATTTTTAAGTAATAAAAAATGCTATAAAAATAAAATACAATATAGGTATAACCAAATTGTGCAACGTACTCTGTGAATGTATTTTGAGGTTATAAACATCTTACTAGCTGTTATTACAAAAAGAAACAGTCTATATCGAGTCTCAAGAATCGACTATGTACTCGAAAAGTTAAGTTTATCGTATTGCAAAATTTTATATGTAATCTTCAATTCAAGAAGGAAGATTCTTAGCCGAAGGGAGTGAGGGATCGGCGCTGCCGTGGCAGATTACCATAGTGAATGTGGTGACCGTAAAGACAATATCATTATACATTAAGTTGTAGTTAATATGGTGATCACAGATACAATATCATTATTATATATTTTATTATTTTCCACATATTTTAGTCCTTAAGGTAAACATAATATAGGACAATAAGTTGTTTAAAATAAAATTGTCATTATTATTCTAAAGTGATATTGTTATTAATCATTAATCACAGCATTTATCAAAAAAAAAATATATACATATGTATAATACTATTTGAGAACCACTGGACTTACCCATTTGTAGATGGACCATCAATATAAAAAAAGAGAGGAAGGGATTTTTTTTTGGTGATAATAGAATATCTCATCCACCTGCGATAACGATATACGCTGCCGGGTCACCAGTGCAGGTTGATATGATGAGCATGAAGTCAGGCCTGAAGCCAATCATGGCGAATTCACCAGGTATTAAGATCAGATTATTTCCGGAAGGTTGTTATAAAAAACGCTAGGTTACATTGCTATGGTACATTTCAATCGTGCTGTACCAGCACGACCTAATATAACCAGGCCACTAAGAAAGCGACAGATAATATTAAAAAAAATACAAGCTTATCTTGGGACTAGATGGCGCTGTGAGAATTATCCAGATTTCTTATCAAATTAAACGAATACAAGACCAATATTCAATTTCAGTGACATTTTAATACAGCATCAGTTGCATGTAAATATAAATCAAACCAATATATCACAACGTAATGTTATTCTTTTTGTTTTGTAATTACAAACGTTATTGTTATTGTAAAAATAATGATATTTTGCAATGATATAGACTAATGTCATCAATGACTTATGTACAATTACGATTATACATAAAAATAATATTGATTACTTGCAAAAGAAACCAAATATTGCTGTGCTATACATTACGTTACTTACCCATATATTATGCAATATTGTTAATTTTTGTTATCTTATTAGTTATTATACTATTACTATACTACAACTATTCTAGATAGTTGAAAACGTTACGACCCTGTAGTTTACAATCTTCTATAAACCAAAGAGTTCCAAAGAAGGACAAAGAGTTTAAATCTGGTTGATACCAAACATTATTCTCTATGTATTTTCTACCGCATATATCACGGAGAGTGTTCTGAGGAATTGTTCAAATTAATACCAGCTGCTGAATTTCACCATCGCACTACCCGCCAGAGACTAAAATACCATCCTAATCACCTGGATACATGGCAGTCCTCCACCGTGCGTTTTCAGAAACTTTTTGCCATGCATAACACCAGTGGAATCACTTATCAGCAATAATGCTATTTGAGAACTGTTACGATAAACCTTAAAGAGAAAGGCTAATTCCTTCTAAAAATGGACTTATAATTCTCCTGGTGTTGCGGGTTCTCATACGCGGGGGTAATGACTTTCCATCAGGTGAGCCGCAAGCTCCTTTTTCAACTATGCTATAAAAAAAAACAAAACCTATATGTGACAATTTCTATTTTTGACCCATTCTCCTGTGGCGCTAACACCCCAACTAACAACATAACCCGGGAGAGTTGTGGGGGGGGGGGGGGACTTTTTCTAAATGAAGAATATCTCATGGAATCAGTGGATACACGCTAAAAACTCCAAGATCTCCCTCGTCCAATGTCATATGCCGGGGTCGGTATGATAGTCTACCGCAACTCCGACTGTAAACTTGATCTTCTGCCACGTTGGATGGGAATATGTCAAATATTTTGTTCAACACGATCTCGATAATTGAGAATGCCTCTGTCTACCCTTGGTTCTAAGATAATAGTCATATATTTTTTTTAAAATATCTGCCGCTTCCTTTGTGGCGACATCCTTTTGCCCTATTTTTTTCTTTTTAATTATTCTGTACATGTGTTCCATTGTATTTTTTTGTATGACAACAGATTAGTATTATTTGGTCTCAAAATCTTCATCAAGACTGAAGTCGTCATCTTGACTGTAAAATTCCTAGGAAACTTGAAAGGAACTCCTAGACTAGGATCTAGAATGTTTTTTATAGCTGTTATAAAAAAATATTGATATTGCCTACATTAACCCATACCATATGTTATCTGTGCCCATACTATGAAAAAAAATTGTGTGTCTGTATTACTCTGTATGGATGTTTGTTGCCATAGAGTAATAAAAATCCATTTACCTTTAAATTACGACAAAAACGTAAAAATGGCTAAACAGTTCTTATTAAACATATTGATATTATAAAAATGTTTGTCTGTGTGTGTCTGTATGGATATTTGTAATCCTTACATTTATCCTTACGTTACAACAAAATGGCTAAACAGCTCTTATTAAATTTGATGTGAAATTTGAACTTTAAGGACAGCCACTAACAAAAGATATCTTTTTTTTATCTCAAGAACAAACGACGTTGCAGGAAAAGGCTATGTTCACATAATTGTTTCGTAATAGTATCAGAAATGTATATTATAATCAATATCACAAATTTTTACCTTATTAAAAACTAGTTAAATCCGATTGAATGCAGTTTTATCTAATTATCACACGTTTTCATCTACAAGTGGGTAAAACTGGCTGTAACCAGTCAGTTTCATTTTAGGCTGTAGCTTTAATTTCTGATTGATTACATTTCTCCTCTAATCGTCATATTATCTACATTAACTACTTAAAAAACAGTCGATCGTTTACTTATCAATCATTGCACTGTACAGTGCTGTACACGCACTATGATTGTGAAATGAAAATTCTTTTGAAACATTATTTATTGATAATAATCATAATAAAATTGTTTATTGCACGATAAAATGGTACAAAAACATTATAAAAGACTAGCTTTTGCCAGCGGGTTCGCTCGCGTTAATTTATCCCCTTGGGGGTGGAATTTATCAAAATCCTTTTTTAGCAGTCTCAGCCCGATCGGTCGAAAATTGACAAAGTTTCATACAAACTTTCATCCCCCATGTTATCCTCTTGGGGGTAGAATTAATCAAAGTCCTTTCTTAGCGGATGCCTACGTCATAACATCTACCTGCATGCCAAATTTCAGCCCGATCCGTCCAGTGGTTTGGGCTGTGCATTGATAGATCACTATGCCAGTCACCTTTGAGTTATATATATTTAGATATCGTCACGGCTATTATCCTGAACGTGGTAGTCTGAAACATGTATATATCTATACTTATAAATAAAATTGGAGTGTCTCTTTGTAATATTGAAATAACCGTTTTTTACTATATTCATATGAATACAAATACGGCACATACATTAAAAAAACACTGTTTACAATTTTTTTCTATCTGTCTATCGGTCTGTTCGGACTAATTTCTGAAATAGCTGGCCCGATTATGACGGGATTTTTTGGCAGATAACTAATGTAATAAGGAGTAACATATGCTACTTTTATTTTAGAAAAATAAAGTTAAATTCCCGGACTAAGTCGCGGGAACAGCTAGTACAATATAATTTTTGTCTGTCTGTCTGTTTGTTCCGGCTAATCTCTGAAATAGTTGGACCGATTTTGACGGGACTTTTTTTTGGCAGATGTAATAACGAGTAAATTAGGCTACTTTTATTTTGGGAAAAATCTTTTATGTTAGAAAAATCAAGTTAAATTCCACGCGGACGGACTCGCGTGTACAGCTAGTTATCAATAAAAATGTTATGATTAATACTATTGTACTGTCATGGTATGTCTCTATTCTGAGGAGAAAAAACCATCGCTCCTAAGAATACCCTTCAATTCTTGTCGCTGACGGGTCTAGGTAGCGAACTTAAAAAAGGGCAAGCACAATCGATCGAGGTTAAGTGCTACAGGTCTTAGCACCTGACAAAAGTCCTAAACCCTCAATAAAAGAAGTAAAAAAGATTGTTGTTATGGGAACTGGCGGCCCCATAGCAATACACAATCGCCACACAATATTTGACGACCTCGGTGGTTTAGCGGTTTGGCACACAGCTGTACAGCTCGATTCGATGGTCGCGGGTTCAATTCCTCGCAGGGCAGAAACATTTTTTATTCAGGAGTATGATTGTTTGTATCGGTCTGGGTCTGCTATGTATAATATGTATGTATTTGCGAAAAAAAAACTTAGTTTGTATCAGTTGTCTAGTACTTATAACACAAGCTTTATCTTATATAATACCATAAAATAGTTATTAAATTAGATATACCTGTAAATTGTTTAAATAACCTCAGGACAATTCACACAGCGCCTTCTAGACCTAAGTTATTAACTTAGGTCTAGATGGCGCTGATGAGGTGAGATTATTATTAATCTGGAAACCATCGTACTTAATTCCAGAACAAAATCGCCAGAATAGGCTTACTTACCTGACGTTCATCTTAGCATATATTAGTGTCGCGTCAGCAAAGTCCAAAAAGGTCGGTGAACCACATTAGTGCATTAAAAAAATACTTAGAACTAATAATCATTGTAACGTCACTTGAGTCATAGATATAATCATTGTAACGATCAAAGATTACGCGTATGTGGGTAACAAAAAAATCATTGTTCATATTATAAAGAATGTATAATCA